TTAGCGACTGCTGGAGCAACTTTCCATGGAGCACTCAGAGGGTGATAAAAATGTCCTCCTGAGAGCCCCGGCTTCCGGCGGGCAGGAGTGCCTTCACTGCTCCACAGTGACTGTGTGCAGTAGGTGCTCACGGAGCAATGGTTACAGCACCATCTGGAGCCACAGCTGTCTGTCTGGGTTTGCATCCTGGCTCTGCTGACTGTTCACTGCATTACTTTGGACCAGTTTCTTAATTTCTCTGTGCCTCAGTTTACTCATCTATAAAGTGGGGATGAACATGGTACCTACTTAATCGAGTTGCTATGAAGATTAAGTGGATTTATATATATGTATATAAGATGCTTGAGATAGCACTTGAGATATGGCAAGAGCCACCTAAGTGTTAGCTTTGACGATGGATAAATCAATGGCGGAATAGGTCATGTGACCCGCTGACATCAGAGATCCACACTATGCTGGCTTGCAGTGAATTCTTCTAGCAGAAAATGCTTTTTTAATGTTGATAGTGATCTCAACATCTTGTTCAAGAGAATAAACAGTGTGTATGAATTGGGGGCAGGTAACAGAGGTGGTCTGGTTGATCCCTTGGTGACTTTATAAGATGAGGGCTCATGAAGAAATAGGACCAACTGGAAAAATTGGGATACTGTCCTTTGAGGCAAAGAATCAATGGGCAAACCTCAATTCTGCACCTCTTCATAAAAGCTGCGACTGGAGACAGCTGGCCCCTGGGACCATTGATTCAAACGCTCATGGGAGAGTCATTGGCAGGTACAACGCAATTCCCAGGTGATGGACAGATTGTGATAAGCAGCTTCCCTTCCTCCCTCCCTTTCTTCCTTTCATGGTAGATTGGCGCAGGCTCTCTCTGCAGACATTCCCTAACCATTCCTCTCCCCACCCCAACACTACTTGTGAATGGAGGAGGAGCTAGAGACCCACAGCTGTCCTTAGAGATTATTTTATTTAACTAAATGCTCTCAATTCATCTGTTCCAATGTTGTAAACTTAATCTTCAATAAGCTAATTTTTTTTAATTTGCTGACAATTTTTTTCATTATATCTACAGTATATTCCTTCTCAAAATATTTGAAAATCAAATAAAAGAGAATAACTATATCAACAAAATGTAACCTCTACACATTGCTGGACTGGGTAGGTATCCACTCATCCCTCTGGCGAAGTGGAACTTTCTAGAATCTTCTGGGATAGGAGAAGGAGGGGGAGTTACAAACCACACAGGCCCTTCTCCCCACCTCTACCTCTACCATCCTGTCACTGAACCAAATGTTTGAATGCAGACTGGAGACTTGAGGACGGAGTAAGTTGAGAATACCTACTTGTACTAACATCATAATTGTTACCATTTAAATTTTTCTCCTTCTAATCTTTTCTTCCTATGCACAGTTGTATGTTGTTGTAGCTACAGTGTGGATATAATTTTTCACTCTGCTTTCTCACTTAAAATTATTACGTAGATCATAAATATTTTCATCTTGCTATATAAACATCATAACTCTAAAGTTATTGCTGCACAATATCAAGTGGATTAGGTATAATTTACTTAACACTTCCCCTCTTGTTGTAAATTTAGGTTGTTTCCAATTTTTAACAAACATCTCACTTTAGCCCTTTGAAGAGCTGATCAGAGATGCTATAGGTGAGAGAGGTAGATAACAATAAGACGGGTACCATCTCATGTGTCAGTCACACTTGCTTTGGCCTCGTGTCCCAGCATCAATACTAATTGTGGTCTTTTCACTCTCAAAAAATATCTGCATTCAGACAATAAATTATATGTTCACCCTAGCAATAATTCCATTCAAAAATAAAGGCCAACAATAGATGTTAGCTCAGAGCCGGTCTTCCTCAGCAAAAAAAGAGGAGGATTGGCATGGATGTTAGCTCAGGGCTGATCTTCCTCCCAAAAAAAAAAAAAAAAAAAGGCCAACAGACAGCTGGGATCTGGGTAAAACCACTCCCAACCACACGGGATGACATCCTGCTGCAGGGAGGAAATGTTTCTCTGAGGCCTTGCCCGAGGCCCACTGGTTCTATGGCGATGACAACACACCAGTAGAGGCTTTGTCTCCTCCGAGACGGGGGCTGGGCCCCTAACCAGGTCAGAGGCCTGGTAACGCAGTGTGCTGCCTGGGGCACAGGCACCAGAGTGTGGGTTGGGGCACATGGCTGAGCTGGGCCAGCTGCTGAGCCTCTTTGAAACTCAGTTTCTTCATGAATAAAATGGGTCAGATAAAATCTGAGAGGGCTTCTGTGGCCGTGAAATGAGAGGGCCTATAATGCCTGACTATCCCCATCAATGTCACCTGTCAGCCCTTTCGTACCCTCTCTTCCTGTAGGTTAAATGAACTCCCAGTACTTTACAGACAGACATTGTCATCTTCTTTCTCAACCTGTCTTTAAAAACCAGAGTTGGATAGAAGATAGGAGTCACCAGAGAAGCCCAGGAGACCAGGACAAACAGACCTTCAGTCACTTGCAGCTGAGAACTGGTCACCACCACTGGTCTTGCCTGGGCCACTGAGCTGCCCAGTTCCGCCCACTTGAAAACAGCCTCCACCCATGTGCATCCTTGTATATAGTCGTCTCTCCAGGGGGCGGTGTCCCTGGGCGCAGGCAACTCCTCCTCATTTGCCACAAGCTAGTGAGGATTATGCTGACACCTCACTCTTCTGGTAGACAGCCCCAGATAACGGAACCCCAGGCCCATTAGGTCTGTACTCGTCTACAAAGAGGCCCAAAGAGTTATTTTTCACAGTGAAAATTTTTAATACTTTGGAAAAAGTGAAAATGGTAAAGGAGTTAAAAAAAAAACCATCATGAGGGCATCAGAATGAACACGCTCTGCTGATATGCTTGGAGGCTCCCCAAGTTGAAAGCCAAACCGGGAACATGGGAACACGGGTTAGCCATTTAAGTTTGTGGGGTAATATTTCCTGTGTTTCAGCCTTCATCACAGCCTCTCACCGTTGCACGGTTCGGCCACACGCTCTAGAACGTGCGTGGCAGCGCGCTGCCTGTGAACACCGAAGCTTCACCCGTTCCCAGGTTCTTCCAGCTTCCGGGGCTCTGAACACACTTTTTGCTTGAAATTTCACACGATAAAAATAAGTTTCAATGGGGTAAAGGCAGAAAGGGAGGGGAGAGACGAAAGCGTCCAGGTCGAAGGAGGACCCCCTCCTCTTCCGCGCGGTCAGCCGCTGGTGCCTCGGACTCCGGGGGCCGCAGAGGGGCCCGCCCCCGCCAGGAGCACCCGCGGGCGCCGGCGTTGGACGCGTCTCCCTGCAGCCTTTTGGAAACGACTCGAAAGCCAGTGCTCGGCGGTCCTCTCCTCCGGGGACCCTTTTTCGAAATGCAGGGACCCTCTGGCGTGGCAGACAGCAGAGTAGCCCTGCCGGGATAGAGGGGGTGAATTCGTGTGGCGTTCACCATTTAAAGTCGTGATGCGAGGGAGCTATTCTTTAGGGAGTTGGCAGCGGGCACGCTGCCCGCATCCTCCTCTCCGGCCCTGATTCTTTGATCGGTCTTTTTGAAAGCGATCTCGGCGCTGGTCCCCTAGTCCCTGGCCACCCTATCCCCCCCACTCCCCGCCGGCCCAGGACTGCTGTGTGGGACATTGGGCTCCATCTGGTCCGAGGGAATCAATAAACCGGTTGCTTTCCACGCTTCCCCCGCACCCCTTCCCCTCCGGATTGTTCTAACAAGGTTAAGTGAGGTCGGAGGCTTGGTCCCCGGGATGCAGCGAGCCCAGGTCGCGGGCAGAAGGACCGGAGCCTCTGAGACCCCATTTGCGCACGTCCGCTCACGCCCCTTCTTCCGCTAGTCCCCACCCTCGACCCGGCTTCTGCGGGCTGGTCGGGCCCGCGCGGCCACCCCGCAGCCCCACGCCCGGCCGGCCCGGCGCGCGCTGTTGTCTCCCCCCAGCGGCC